AAAAAAAGTCCACAACACTTAGAGCTGATATGTCCGGAAAACAAGACAAATAGAAGGATTATGATGGTGTTTCATCTTCATGGGTCCTCAAAAAAAGCTAAATTAACCCACTTTTGAGCTTTGTTTTTTTTAATTTTTTTTTCTATGCGTTTCTGAGGGAAATAACAATAACTGGCTCCTCAAATATGATCAACCCACAAATTTTCCCTACCTGCTTTTTCAAATTCAGGCACACAAAACTATTCATCTAATAATTTAATAATGGGTTGATTTCAAAATGTTGTCAGATATTTTAGAATATTTCAGAATCAAGCCTTTATGATGTTGATTAAAAAAATAAATGCTCAATTTTAACTGGATGCAAGTAACACTTTTCCAAAAAAAGTTGACTTTAAAGTGCCTGCTGCTGTATTCTGACTGAGCAAATTCAGTTTCCACCCCAGTCCATCTTAAAGAGGCTCAGCAGAAAAAACAAAAACAAATCTCTGCCTCTCTGTGTGTTCCTTTTATTAAAAATAAATAAGTAGCCAAGAAAGTGGTTCTCCAGCAAATCCCAGGAGCCTGAATAAGAGCAGCTGGACTTTATCTTGGATCCCGAAGACGTTTCTCCTCTTATCCGAATTTCCTGTGTTGAAGCTCTTCTTTTTTGTTTGGCAGCGTTTTAAAGGCAGAGCTGCCCGAGGACGCAGAGATTACGTTTGATGGCTTTTTGAGTGAACACAATCCTGAGCTGTCACCTCACAGAGCCGAGGCCCTTCCTCTGCTCAGAGCAGCTCTCAGTGCTCTTCTATTTAAATAACATTTAGTAACATTTACATTAAGTAGTTGGAAGAGCTTTAGTCAGATTGAATGGAGCTATTTTTCATCATTTCTGCCCTTTCAAAGCTTTAAATGACTGTTTATCGAAAAAAAATGTCAGTTTTTTGTGCATGTTTGGGACCAAAGGACTTTTGGGAATCGGAGTGCTGTTATATTTCTCAATGAATCATCATGCAAACATCCCATTTGGTTATATTTCCTCTATCTGCTCAGAGTTTAAGGACTCTTTTAGGGGCAGTGAAGCTCCATCTGTTTTCCTGGTGGCAGGGTCTGACCATCACCGGAAATGTGCTCCGCTCATCCAAACATCCTCAGAGCAGAGCTGCGTCAGATCGTACGGTTGAGAAATGTTGTAAACTGAGTATTTTCAGCCGTGAGAAACCCCGTGTGCTCTGCAGGCTGCTGGCTGAGGGATACCTTTGTAACCGGGACAGGAAAGTGGAGGCTTAAACTTTGGCAAACCGTTCCGATGAGCCTCATAGTTTCATTTCCAAAGTTCGGAGACGTAGAAAATAGAAGATTTAAGTTAATATTTCTGCTTACAATGATTTCTTTGTTTCAAAATGTCCCCCTGAAGTGATCACCGTTTACTTTAGCTGATGTTTTCACATGATTTTATCATGGCTTAACATAACAGTATATATAAATATATGTAGTAAGGGAAATGGAAATAAGTCCACAAACATCCAAACATGCCATTATTGGGATTTCATCTCAGAACAATGAGCATTAATCTCAAATCTTCTGGGAAAAATCTTTGGCCAGATTAAGAATCTGGCTTCGGGGATTTGCTCCAA